TAGTTTTAAAGAATAACTCAAGGCAGGAAAAAAACCAGGTAGAGATCATCAGCTTTCATCAGCAGGCCCAGTATCTGTCCAAGTACAGAGATCCTTTTGCCTAGTAACCCTTCTGGGCATGGGAATCCGGGTACATGTGGGTTACCTTGATATACAGAAGCCACAAGCCTATCCCCTGTTAATCTTTTATACTGTCCTAGTCACATAGGCCAGAATCCTGCATGCTAAGGCAAAGCTCCATCAACACAGGCATGGTTTCATACAACAAAGGAGGCAGACATAACATTTATCTGTTATTTTTTCTGTTTCCAAGGAAACCATGCTGTGGACTTCAAGGGCATTCTCTATAAGGTCTCCATAAGTCCAGGCCTAATGATAACCTTTTATTCACAGTCTGGTATATAAAAAGTGCTCTAAAAAATGTTACTTATTATTGTCTCAATTAGCAAAATAAGTAATATTTGATGCGAATTAGTGCATGCTCTTACTATTAACGAAGGGTACTGACATTAATATGTAAAAGTGAAGACTACCAGAAGAATTTAAATTATCCATCAGGTATTGAGAAACCAACTACATGTTGACAGTAGTAGTAACTGGTTTTACCTGATCGATTTCCATTTCCTCTTTATTCTAGTGAGAATACAGTATTCCAATTTGGGGGTGACAGAGTTTCATTCTGTCCTGAAGCCCATGTAGTTCTAAGGGGGATGGCCTACCCTTCTATATGATAGTAGGACTTGCATCAAAAGATTCTTCTGCTTTGGTGATTGATTCAGGACTTACATGTGACTGAAGCTAAGCCAGTGACTGTTACCTTAGATTTTTGCCAGAGTTATTACAAAATAAAAATATTTGCTCAGCCATTAGTCTATCACAATAGTGCTTCTGGGGTGAGTATTAGTAGCCAGGTACACAATGGATAAACACAGCTGGCCTGAGAATGAAGAAGACACAGAGAAAGGTAATTGAAAAAGATGTAAAGAAGGTGAAAATTGAAATTATCTGGAATTTTAAAAACTGTAAGTCAATAAATTCCCTTCTGATTTTCAAGTCAGTTTGAATTTGATGTCCGTTAAGTGGAGTCTGTAATATTCCTGACAAGTATAGGGTATTCATTCGGCAAAGTGATGCTAATGGAAAGACAGAGTGCTTCAAAGAAGGAGTCAAATCCATAACAAATAGTAGACCAGGGCGGCACCTGTGGCTCAAAAGGGAGGGCGCTGGTCCCATATGCCGGAGGTGACAGGTTCAAACCCAGCCCCGGCCCCCCCCCAAAAAAAAAACCAAATAGTAGACCAATTCCATACATGTATTGATGGCTGACAAAGCTGGTCTGAGGGACTGACCAGGACTGAGTTCGGGGAGACGGTCAGATAAACCCATTCTTGAGAATTTGAGCCTTATAATGCCCCCAAAGACATGGCAATCTATTGTAAAGCACAGAAGAACAACAATAATCTTGGTTCTTGGGAAAAAAATTGGCAAAACTTTAAAGCACAGGACATAGCCCAGTTTTCTGGCCAAGATGTAGGACTTGGCACCTATAAGACATCAGAAACTCAAGGAGGACGGAAAACTATGTAGTTATCTAAAAGACAGAGGCAGAAGGAGAGCTGCCATAGACCAGAGAAACTGGCATTCCAAAAACTAATTCCTGACTGTGCTGAAAAATTCTCACTGGATCCAGCGTGAGCAGTCTGGAAATAAAGGAGGATCACGGCTGATACCTGGGATGGGAATAGAATGTGGTAGACCTTGATAATTTATATTATTAGAAAAATATAAAACAATATGTTTTTCCAAAACAACAGTCTAAGAAAAATACAAGGCCAGAATAGCTTACGTATGTATTTTTAAAAATGTTTCTCATTCTAATGAAATAAACACTTGGAATGAACTCAGTAAAGCTGCAGGATAGAATATCAACAAACAAAAATGAGTTTTATGTCTCTATGCTAATGAACTATCTGAAGAAGAAATTAGGAATTCCATTTTCAAAAGCACCAAAGAAAATAAAATAGAAATGAACTTAACTAAGAAAGTTAATAACTTGTACACTGAAACCATGAAAGGTTAGTTTAAAAAATTTCAAAGACACAAAATACATCTTCTATTTATAGGTAGGATGAATTAATATTGTTAAAATGTCCATACTAATCAAAAATACTAATGGTATTTTTTCAGAAATAGAAAAATGAATCCTAAAATTCATATGGAAGCACAAAAGACCTTTAAACAGTCAAACAATGTCGATTGTTGATTCTTGATTTTAGTATATATTACAAAGTTACACTAATCAAAATAAAATGTTACTGGCACAAAGACATATAGACCAATGGAGAAGAAGAAAGAGCCCCTAAATAAGAATGCACATGGATGGTCAACTGATATTTGCCAAGGTGACAAGAATACAAAATGAAGAAAGAATAATCTTTTCAACAAATGACACTGGGAAAATTGGATATCCACATGCAGAAGAATTAAATACCCATACCTTACATCATATACAAGATTCGACTCAAAATGGATTAAAGATTTCAAGGTAAAACCTGAAACTATAAAACTTCTTGAAGAAAACAGGAGACCATCTTCATGAGATTGATCTTGGCAATGATTTCATGGATATAACACCAAAAGCACAAGGAACAAAAGCAAAAGTAGTGGGATTATATTAAATTAAAAAGCTCCTTCACAGCAAAGGAGACAATTAACAGAATTAAAAGGCAACCTATAGAATGGAAGAAAATATTTTCAAACCATCTATCAGATAAAGGATTAAGTTCCAAAACATATAAGGAACTCATACAGCTCAGTAACAAATAAAAAGCAAAACAAACAAAAAAGAAAAAAGACAAAAATCCCCTAATAATCCAATTAAATAAATGGGCTAAGTAGCTATTTCTCCAAAGAAGACATAAATGACAGGTATATGAAAAGGTGCTCATCATCGCTCATTATCAGGGAAATACAAATAAAAGCCAAAGTTAGACGTCACCTCACACTGTTGTTAAAATAGCTATTATTGTTTGTACACTACTGATGGTACTGCAAGTTAATACAACTTCCATGGAAAACAGATTGAATATCCCCAAAGAAAAAAAACATAGACCTACCATTCAACCCAACAATCCCACTACTGGGTATCAAAGGGAAAGAAATCGTTGTATCAGAAAGACACCTACATTCAAATGTTTATTGCAGCACAGTTCTCAATTGCAAAGATGTGGAATCAACCTAAGTGCCCATCAATTCATGAGTGGATTAAAAAAATGTGATATGTATATCACAAAGATATATATTTATATTTATATAAATAAATACTAGGCAGTAATAGAGCCATGTGAAGGAATGAAATAATGTCTTTTGCAGCAACTTGGATGAAGTAGCTCAGGAATGGGAAAACAAGCACCATATGTGCTCTCTAACAAGTGGGCCTAATCAATTGGCACACAAGAAACAAAGGTCATTGGAAATTAAGAAAGGGAAGGGGGAGAGGGAAAGAGGTAAAAACTTACCTATTGGATATAATGAACACTATTTGGGCAATGGGCAACTGAAAGCCCTGACTTAAGCATTATAAAAGGTATCCATTTAACAAAAACATTTGTACCCCCTTAATATTTTGAAATTTGAAAACATAATGAGATACCACCTAGTATCTATGAAGATGGCTGTTATCAAAAGGACAAGAGATAACAGGTGTTGGCAAGGGTTTGGAGAAAAGTAAACCATTGTACACTGTTGGTGGGAATGAAATTTGGTGCAACCATTATGAAAAATAGTATAGAGGATTTTCAAAAAAAATTTAAAATTGAACTACCATGTAAGCCAGCAATCTCCCTTGAAGGCATGTACCCAAATGAAATGAGCTTATCACTTAGAGATATCATCTGGGCTCCCAAGATATGTAAACAACCCAAATGTTCATCAGCAAATGAATGGATAAAGAAATTGTAGTACGTATATGTGTAGCTATTACGAGGGTCATTACCAAAGTTTAAAGATGCACAAAAATCAACAAACATAAAATCTGTGCAGATGGAAACAAATGAAGCCCTCCCAGCAATACCGATAAGCCAAGCAAGTTAAAACTTGCACGGGTGAATCAGAAAGGACGTTGTTGACTATTTCTTTGAAAGTAAAATAATAGACCATAACACAGTCTATCTCAAAACTTTCATAGTGACCCATGTATATACATATATAAAGGAATATTATTCAGTCATAAAAGGGAAAAAAATCCTACCATTTGAGACAATATGGATTAATGGGGATTCACCTGGAGGACTTTATGCTAGGTGAAATATGTCAGACACAGAAAGAAAACTAGTGCGTGATCGCCCTCGTCTGTTGAATCTTTAAAAAAATCAAATACAGAGTGTTTTCTAATTTATTACCAGAATTCTCTCAGTCTCCAGCACATTATGAGTTCAAATGGCATCATATTAAAAGTAAAAACCTAGATTTCTTTTTTTTTTTTTTTTTTGCTGTTTTTTTGGCCAGGGCTGGGTTTGAACCAGCCACCTCTGGTATATGGGGCCAGCACCCCACTCCTTTAAGCCACAGGCACCACCCAAAACCTAGATGTCTATGGCTTTTCCCCCCAGGGATTTATAAAGGACCTGCACTTACCTGCAAAATCAGTCTGCAAGTGTTAACAAGTGTGTGCACATAAGTGCTTACAGTTGCTGGGTACCATCATATCCACGGGCATTGGGCATACCGTTGGAAACTGCGATTTATTTTCAGTCACTGCTGAACTCCCTGTTATTCCTCTAAATAGCCAGCGCTGTCTCAGTCTCGGCTAGTCATCCGTGGGCACTGCCAAGTCCCAGTCCTATTAGGTCAGACATCTAGAGTTGGTACTGAGCACTACAAATGAGGCACAGGCACATTTCTGTTGGAAAAGCTGTTCCAAATCAGTGCAGTGAACTCTTTTTTTTTTTTTTTTGTATTTCCAGTTTTTATTCTGAGCAGTAGGTACAAAAAAATTGAGAAAAAATATGGAACGCTTCACACATTTGCACGTCATCTCATCCTTGCTCAGGGGCCAGGCTGATCTTCTCTGTATCGTTCCAGGTTTTGTATGTGTGCTGCCGAAGCCAGCACTGCAGTGAACTCTTAAACCAGAATCTCTGGGTCTCTCTGCCTGCCGTGGCATGCTCTTTCCAGTGTTGTTATTGTTATAGTACACTCCCAAAACGTGGGGCCTCTGATAAAACATCATCTTCCCTGCTCTGTTGAAGGTTCCAGATATTTGGATCTTTGTTCACACCAACTTATACAAGAGTAACAGCCAGCCATGTACTATCAAAGGATCAGGCAGTCCGTCAGTCCAGTGTTACATTTTGAGGCAACAGCAATACAATGGCTCACACTCCCCCATATTTGACCCAACATTCTAGCCAGGGAATTTTCAGAAGTATATTTCAAAGATGCTCCATGTTTGCAAGGAGCCAAGTACACTACTATTCTTGCCATAGATTCAACACAACACAGAAGCAGTATATCATAAACTCTGCCCTGGCCACCTCGAAAGGCCACCACATTAAAGGAGCTCCTCGTCTTACCTTTGTGATTGAAGATAAAGTTAAAAGTGTAAAGGAAAAGGAGGCTGTTTCTCCTGTTAAGAAAAGTAAGGTTTTAAACCCTATTTTAAAATGCCTATGCTTTTTAGACTATGAAAGCTGGCAAGGGTAAAATGAAGAACCACCATGAATCCACACAGGAGCACTTGCCCATGAAGCTGCGTTCTTAACACTTATGCACATTAAGATTTGAGAAACATCTTGAGGCTGCTATCAACCCTTGCAGTATATTGGAATCATCTAGGGAGGATTAAAAAGCACTCTTACCTGGCTCCCAGCCCCAGAGACGCTGATATAATTGGTCTGGGATGCGGTCTTGGTGCTTTACAGGTGACTCGAATGTGCAGTGGAGGCTGAGAACCATCATGACAGGGGAATCTGATATTGATCAGTGAAAACCTTTGCCAAGGTGTTTTAAAGGGCATTTCACTTCTGAAAAGGAAAGTGAAGAAAGTGTTAATTGGTAAAGAAAAGAAAAAGGGGGAAGTTTTTCTAGGGGAAATAATAGCTGGAATGAAAACTCAGAGGCAAGTCTGAGACGTGAGCTCTCCAAAATAATTAGGTTTGGCACATAGAGGGCTGTGAACATGGCAGAGTGGAAAATAGGGACTTTTAGGTAAAGGTGAACCAAGAAGTTGAGAACTTTACCACCCAGGATCAGGAAATTGAATTCAGCTTGAGAGCCAATTGAGCACCACCATAGGAGTCTGTAAATGGCAGTGGCATGATGAAAACCGTGTTTAAAAATGAAAACATCACTAATAGCATAGTGAGGTTTTCAATCCAATGTATCTATTTCCAAGGAGCTGTATTTTCTTGTTTCCCCCTCACAGGCATTTTAAGCTACAACAGTGAAGTAATTGTACCCACAGTAAGGAAAGTACATGTAGGATCACTAAATTATCTAATATTTGATAGTCCAAGTTTACAGTGTCCGCTGAGCTAGCCCAGACCACAATTGTTAGTATATGTTTAAAGATTGCTGAGAATGAAGATTTAGAGTTAGTTTCAATTTTTCGTTTCATTTGACTACTTAACTTGCAAGCAAGCAGCACATGACGCCATAACACCTGAATTATTCCTCATGGAAGCAATTATACCTAAATTTTGGAGATCTTTGGAACTAGTGTGGAATGAAGACTCCATCATGTGAGAAGAAGAACCCTGGGCTCACTAATTTTTTAATGACTTTATTTAGGCTTTTTTTTTTTTTGAGACAGAGTTTCAGTCACCCTGGGCAGAGTTCTGTGGTGTCATAGCTCACAAGCAATCTCAAACTCTTGGGCTCAAGAACTCCTCTTGCCTTAGCCTCCCAAGGAGCTGGGACTACAGGTCTGCAACACCAGGCTAGTTTTTCTATTTTTAGTAGAGACAGGTCTTGTTCTCACTCAGGCTCATCTTAAACTCCTGAGCTCAGGAGATCCACTTATCTCGGCCTCCCAGAGTGCTAGGATTACAGGCATGAGCCACCACGCCTGGCTATTTAGGCTTCTTTGCATATCAGCACTGGGAGATACCCTTAGATATTAAAGGACATCATTGAAGGACTGAAGTAACACACTTTCTTCCTCTAATTTTTACTTCTGAAAAGAAAAGTAAGGAAAGCACAGCAGTAGGTCCGAAGGCTACTGACCATGCCTGGTAACCACCAAATCAGGGACGTACTTTGTTGGACCCCTGGGTATGCAATGGTGCTTTTTACTGGAGCCAAGTAGATTCAAATAAAGAGAGGCTCTGTTTAAGAACTAACAAATGACACAATGATTAGTTGAGACCATTTGGTTTAGATGTAGACTCTTTTCAAAATATATTAAAGTAAAAGTCTTTAACTTAGGACTTAGAAAACAAAGGATTTGAGGAAAACAAAAAAAAAAATTACTTGGGTAAAACCATACAAAACATGTATTAAATCGCTAAACTTAGCACTTATATAATTATTTTTAACAAATTTGGCATAGTTTTGGGGAGGCCTGCTGGGCTTTAAGACTTATATTCCCATGTCCCAACATATGGGACAATATGGCTTCAATCTGAAGCTTCAAATTTTAAGACATCTTATGACCTCATGTGCTCAGAGTTCCTCAAGGTATGATGCTTGGCCAGCTGTATACAAATCACATAGGCGACTTTCTCCAGAATGTGATTCCTTGGTCCTATCAAAGACCTAGTGAATCAGAATGTCTTGTGGCTAGAGCCTACACGTCTGTATTTGTCTATGCCATCCAAACACCAAAGTTTGAAAACCACCACTCTAGTAACTTTCAAATCTGCTGCTCCCTAAAATCAAGGAATTATATGCTAACTAGGAGTTGCAGGTTGCCAGCATGATACCAACATTTTGATACTGATAGTCTAAGGGTGCCAGGTTGTCACCTCCTCACTGGACACAAATCTCTTGGTCTTGTTGACTGTTTTTGGTTCCTGACCAGTATTGTGTTCACTCTCTCAGGCATTACATATTTGAGCTCAACAACAACCTCTCTGCTTAGTCCTTGTGCTAAATCTCAGTGATTTTTACAGCCTCCAGTAGCAGATTATGAGCTTCTATCAGCTATTTCTCTAAGGCATGAGGTGGGATAATGTTAAAATACTCAAAGAATTGCTGATTATGTTATGATTAACAGAAATGAGACAGAACAGAATAAGAGTAGCCGCCATCTCAAACTAGACATACCCATTTGGACAGGCATATTCTAGAGAGTAGACTCAATTAATAGCTTAGATACTGAAATCCAAGCCCCGGGGGAGGAGTGGGTGACCAAAATGCAAAGTGCAGGGACAATGTTCTAGGGCAGAACTCTTTATTGGAGGATCCAAAATAAGACTGTGCTGGTTTCTTAATGGGTGGCAATGTCAATGGAGGAAATAATAGTGAACATTGGGCAATCAGGATTGACATATGTGGGGATCATAAAATGTTAAAAGTAAGTAACTGAGCTCCAAGCATTGGACTATTTTAAGAACAGAATTCCATCCAATTGGAGTGAATTTTTCTCAACTGTTTTTTAGAGAAGTTACCAAGGCAGGAATGTTCAAACAAGGAACCTTGTTTTGGCTTATGTAGAGGCATAACTTAGAACCTACTGCAAGAAAGGACGATTCAATAAGCTGGAGCCTCCTGCTCCCTCTTGTTTCTTATAGCACTGGGCCTGAGGGTCCCTATCAGAACATCTTTGCTGTTGTTTATATGTAGATCCTCATCTCCCAAAACGATATAATCAGAATCTCCTAGTCTGTCAGCCCACCCGTATGTGCCTTTTAAAACGGCCCAAGTGATTCATATGAACTCCCAGGTGAAGAGCTACAGTCCTAAACATCAGAATCAGGCTGAAGCTGAAAGGGGGAGAAGAGAGAGGCACTGGTGGTGAAAGGGCAGGCGCTGGGTCAATCAAGTCTCCCGGCAAAGTGCCGCTAGGAAGATTAGGCCTCAAGAAACACAAAAGCATTTCTTCTTTCCTGGTCTGCCTGCTTCCTACAATTATAAAATGTGAATCAAAAGAGCTGTGCCTCCTATTCCACAATTCTGGAGGGCTGGGACCCAGTGCTATTCCAGGAAGAGGTAGACTTTTCAGCATTTTTTTACCTTTTCCTGCCCCAACATATATAGGTTAACTTGACACACAGAAAACTTTATTTTCAACCTAGGGGCCTTTAGACGTTTAGGTCCGTTATTCAAAAAAAAAAATTCCTACAATGAAAAGTCTCTGAAACGCCTGAAGAAAGTAATTTTGGCACTTTTCTATCATTCAAAAATTGATAACTGATGCGCTTCTCACCTCTCAGGTATATCATTTGAGACGAAGGAGTTCTGCTAGAAGTGAGTCTTTCATATCTGTACAGAAAACTCATTACAGACAACCGCAGGAAGGCAGCCATCAGCTCTTCAAAAGGGAGCATAAAACACAGGCTTAATTTGCGCATGTTTAGTAAACAGTTTAGTTTTAAAGGCAGAATCGAAAGTCAAGAATTTTTTTTCTCTCTGATCATTTTCATCTCCCCAGTTGAAAGACACTACTGATATAAGGAAGTGTCAAAACCTAGCACCAAGTAATCAGAGTTTAAAGAATAGAACTTGGGGGATTATTGTCTACAATCTTCTTTGGCTCGTGATAGTAAAGTGTGTACCCCTTATGGGATTTCTTTTGAGGTATCTTGAGGTAAGAATCAAACCTATAGGGACTGTAGGAACCAAATGGTGAAAAGCAAAGATTCTGCTGGTAATTAGGTGCTTAGGGGGATTCAGATCTTCCTGCCAATGGAGAATAAGAAGGCAAAATCTGTTATATTGCTTCTAAGTTGTAAAGCTTATGTCACTTAGGGTGATGTGTGTCAGATACCCAAGCTCATTATCACCATAGAAAAAGATGACCAGCTTTGAAACAGCATTGACAGCAGGAGTGCCCACCATGGATCTGGGACTGAAGAGGACATTATGTCCCTGAGACAGGGACGGCTTAGAGAAGGAGCTCACAATTGCTAATCGACTCACTGTTTACTGTGAGATTTGCCCCCTGTGTTAAC